CGGGCTGCTGCCTGGGGGGCTCCCGGGCGGCGGCGGGCTCTCGGAGGCCCAACGTGGTGCTGCTGCTCACCGACGACCAGGACGAAGTGCTCGGCGGCATGGTAACTCCTGTTTCTGCCCCGCCCCTCTCCCTCTCGCGGCGGACTCCCTGGTTTCTTGCCCTCTTTCCCGTCCCCACCCCGGCTCCCGGAACCGGCCGACTGGACCCCGGGTAGGTTTGCTTTGGCCACGCCGGGCTCTCGACGTAGGTCTGAGGGGCCGCAGGACTCTATTTCCTCTTCTTGCTCCAGCGTCTCTTGGAGGGTGACACACACACGCACACACACGCGCGCTCCAAGGAGCTTCCAGTCCGGACCTGACGGCTGCGGAGCTGGCGTTCCTTCGCGATCTCGGGACACACAGGTGGACGCCGGTCAGGGATGGGCAGAGCCAACGAGGAGCAGGTGTTGGCTAAGGAGATGCCAGCCTTGAGCATCTTCTGGGTTAGGAGACAAGGACAGCCCCCCTGTGTGGGGACCTAGGCCACCTCCGCCTTTGTTCCCGGGCACAATGTCTGTGCCTGATATTTATAAAATAAGTGCTGAAATGAACTAATCTGGTAGGTAGCTTTCGAACTATTTCTTCAGGGTGTGCTTTGCCACACAAGAATCAAGAAAATCCAATTAGCCTAATTGAACACCTGGCCGATACATTAGGTCCTGCCAGTGTGCCATTTTGTACCATCTGGGTGTTGTCATGAGACTTCATTCTTTCCCAGAGTTGACGTTGCTTCTGTGTCTTAAGAGTCTTGACCTTTATGACCCTCAGGAATAGGCACCCAACCCCGTACTCACGTAACTCACCACAGCACAGAAAGTGGCTTGCCCCAGGCACATAAATAGTGGAGGCAATCGAGTCAGACTGACTAGTGCTCTGATTCTGGGTATGGTATTCCTCTTTTTAAGAGCAAGTGCTTTTTTTGCTTCCTTTCTTTCAGTTCTCTTTTTGCTTTGAGCAAAATGCTGAGATTATGAAAACACTTCAGGCAAGAGGTTCCGAACTGTGACTGTGTAGTAACACCCTAGTTCAGTGTCTTTCATCCTGTCCATAAGTGAGTTGTGAAATCAGTTTAGAACTACCAGCATTTTCACTTCCCTACAGAACAGACACTGGGAATAGAAAATGTCTGTGTGGTACACGCGGTAAAGGTTAAGCATATATCCATATGTGTATATATTTCTGGGCTGTGAATTAAAATGTTTATTCACTCGGGGCTGTGTGCAAGAGTATGGGATTCTTTTCTAGCTGACGTTTAAGATGCTTGCATTTTGACTCCACACTCCTGCCACATATGCCTCATTGCCTTTTAATTTCTATTCAGTCACATTGACATTGAAGAGTCTTGACTTAATTGCCCTCCTGGGTTTTATTTTGGGTTTTTCCCCCACCATTCTAACAGCTACATTTATTTTCTTTTAAATATCTCACGTCCTTGAAAAGTATTTTATCCAGGAAAAGCAAGCCACCTCTATCAAAAATTAATAATAGTTTAGTGACTGAAGCTTAATTGAAAGGTAAAGCTTTCGCCCTAGCAGGTTTGGCTCAGTGGATAGAGCGTCGGCCTGCGGACTGAAGGGTCCCAGGTTCGATTCCGCCGAAGGGCACATGCCAGGTTGTGGGCGCGATCCCCAGTGGGGGGTCGTGCAGGAGGGAGCCAATCGAAGATTCTCTCTCATCATTGATGTTTCTCTCTCTCTCTCCCTCTACCTTCCTCTCTGAAACAATAAATATATTTTTTTAAAAAGAAAGAAAAATGGGTGTTTAAAAAGAAGGTACAGCTTTCACATCTCTGTTGAAAACAAACTTCATCACTTAAATACAAGGTGTGGTGTTCAGAATCCATTTCCTTCCATTTTTGTAGGCCACAGATGTGGTCTCTTCCCCTTAGCACAGTGGTTCTCAACCTTCCTAATGCCGAGACCCTTTAATACAGTTCCTCATGTTGTGGTGACCCCCAATTTCATTGTTACAAATTGAACATAATTAAAGCATAGTGATTAATCACAAAAACAATATGTAATTATATATGTGTTTTCTGATGGTCTTAGGCGACCCCTGTGAAAGGGTCGTTCGACCCCCCCAAAGGGGTCGAGACCCACAGGTTGAGAACCGCTGCCTTAGCATGTTAATCACATTTGCTTCTTTAAACCACAGCAGTTTCTTTTTTATAGGTGTTTGTACTGGAGAGAAGAGCCAAAATTGTGTGGAGGGAACAAGTTGAATTCAATGCTCCAACTCTGGAGAATTCTTGCTTCTCTTGTAGGCTTTTACAGAATATTTTATGACTACATAGTTGTCAAACAGGACTTGAAGGGGAAGAGCTAAGACAATATAGCATTTGAGATTCTACTTGGAGCCAGAGAGTGAGGTGTTTTATATTTGTGCTTCAGTCATTACAGGAGTCCTCTGCTGTGGGTATTGTCCTTATCTTAACTAAGAGGAAACTGCAATTTAGAGGGGGCTATAACATGGCCAAGTTTCATATAGCTAGTGAGGGACAGAGCCCCATGCTTTTTCTCCTGTTCGAAAATACTGTGATAATACTGTCTTACAGATGTCATTCCACATACCCACATTAGCATGGTTACTTATGCCACAGGTCAGAGATTCTTCAGATGACATTCAGGAGCACCAGTGGGGTCATGGAACTCCTTAATTTACATGTAATAAATAATTTGTGTATATTATCTTCATTTTTTGTCCACCCCCCCCAAAAAAAGGATTATGAATTGCCACCATAGTTGGCAAAATAAACAGTGGTCAATCCCCCAGACTAATTCAGATGAAAGGATTGTAACACTTGTATGATTGTAGTTTAATGTGAAACCTGTCATCTTTGAAATAGTCTTTTAGGTGGTAGTGTCCTCTTTAACATTTCATTGTATTTGTTGCAGGTATCTGGGATTCCGTTTTTAGATTTTTTGACCCGTGCAACTATTCCTGTAGATTTCTTGAATGTTTTGTTTTTAATCCTCACCTGAGGACATACTTATTGATTTTAGAGCGAGGGGAAGAAAGAGAGAGAGAAACATCAGTGGGAGAGAGGAACATCAATTGGTTGCCTTCCAGTACACACCTTGACTGGGGATTAAATACCCAACCTGTGTATGTGCCCTGACTGGGAATTGAACCCACCACCTGTCAGTGTACAGGTTGACACTCCCAACTAACTGAGCTACACTGGCCAGGGTTTAATTTCTTGATTTTATTTAAATGTAATTATGGTGTGATGGACATACTGTTTTCACAGAAGCACAGGATGCTTTTTAAAAAAATCATTCACTCTAGAAAAAGTGACATTCGGTTAAAATTTCAAGGAAGTGAGGGAAGGAGCTGTAATGAAATGTAGGGGAAGAATAAATACGTACATGATGTCTTTGCTTTGCTTAAAGCAGGGTGGTTTTCTATTGAAAAAGGGAAAGTTAGCTATAGAATTACCAAACTTTATTTCGGAACAGGTGTACATGGGAGCTAGGAAAGTATAGGACTCCTTGGGATTTTTATGGAAGGGATTTTGCTTTGGATGTAGTAAAGTGACACATTTACCCATATGCGAGTATAAGATTGGCTGCTTCATAAAGAATGTGGTATGGCCTTAACCTCACTGTCACTATCTTTGCTTAGATCTTAAGGATCCATGTTAACATTCAGACACACATACACATTTTCAGTACAGTGTGGTTTCTTGCCTGGACTTGTTTGATTAAGCACAGATTTTATGCTTATCATTTGTACTACTATGAATAGTCTAAAGCAGTGATGGCGAACCTATGACACGCGTGTCAGAGGTGACACGTGAACTCATTTTTTTGGTTGATTTTTCTTTGTTAAATGGCATTTAAATATATAAAATAAATATCAAAAATATAAGTCTTTGTTTTACTATGGTTGCAAATATCAAAAAATTTCTATATGTGACACGGCACCAGAGTTAAGTTAGGGTTTTTCAAAATGCTGACACGCTGAGCTCAAAAGGTTCGTCATCACTGGTCTAAAGACTATAGTTATTAATATAAATCTCCTACATTAAACTCTAGATCCTTGTGCAGCCCTCCATCAGTTCTTTGGCTTCTGCCTAACTCTCTGACCCTGTCTTATCCCACTCCCCCCTTTACTGACTGCACTGCTTCTGCCACACGTGCACTGTTTTTTGTCCCTCACACGTGCCTCTGTCCTTCTCTGGCAGCCTTTGTACTGGCTATTCACTCAGCCTGGAAGCGTCTTATCCTGGACGTTTGTGCGGCTGACTCATCATCATGTGACTCTCAGCACTGGTTACCTCCTCAAAGAGGCCGTCCCTGACCTACCACCTAAAGTGTTTTCCACTTTTCCTGCCACCAGCTGTAAGCACATTATCCTGGTTTATTCTGTTCATAGCATTTTTCACCACCCAGAATGATTGCTTGTTTACCTGTGAGTTGTTTAAGTCCCCAAGAGTGCAAGGATCGTCAGGGTAGGGACCTTCTATCTTTATCCACTTCTATTGCCAAGACCAGTGCCTGGCACAAATTAAGTGTTTAATACATGTTATATAATCACACAGTATAGTCTTACTGTAAATCAGATATTCCTCAGTAACTTTGCGTATTTATCAGACAATTTGATAACTAAGTCAGATATAATCAACTCACATGGACCTTTTCTTCACTTACCCTTCACTCATTTCCCCTCCCTATATCCTCACTGTAACTCAGATTCTTCATCCATCTAACGCAGTGGTCAGCAAACTCTTTAGTCAACAGAGCCAAATATCAACAGTACAACGATTGAAATTTCTTTTGAGAGCCAGATTTTTTAAACTTAAACTATATAGGTAGGTACATTGTTATTAACTTAATACTCCTAAGGCGTAGGAAGAGCCACACTCAAGGGGCCAAAGAGCCGTATGTGGCTCTCGAGCTGCAGTTTGCCGACCACTGACTAACGTTTTATGCAGCCCAATGTTCTGTACCTGAGTGTAGCACCCAGGGATGCTTTATGGGAGATTATGACTGGTGACATTGCTTCTGAAGGTTACCAAAGATCTTATATATGTCTCTAGCATTTCCTGGGGACCCATTATGCCTGCGGTTCTCAACCTGTGGGTCGCAACCCCTTTGCAGTCGAACGACCCTTTCACAGGGGTCGCCTAAGATCATCCTGCATATCAGATATTTACATTACGATTCATAACAGTAGCAACATTACAGTTATGAAGTAGCAACGAAAATAATTTTATGGTTGGGTCACAAGAGGAACTGTATTTAAAGGGCCAGAAGGTTGAGAACCACTTCTATGCAGTTACTTATGAAGTGATCAAAGTTGTTTTTTGGGGGTTTTTTTTGTTTGTTTGTTTGTTTAAATAGAGAGGAAGGAACGAAGTGATCAAAGTTGTTTTTTGGGGTTTTTTGTTTTTGTTTGTTTGTTTGTTTAAATAGAGAGGAAGGAAGAAGGAAGGATAGAGGGCTAGAAACATTGATGAGACAGGAACATCATCAATCAGCTAACTCCTACATGCCCCACACTGGGGATTGAGCCCGCAACCTGGGGATGTGCCCTGACCGGGAATCAAACCAGTGATCTCTTGGTTCCTGGGTCAGTGCTCAACTGCTGAGCCACACTGACCAGGCTCAAAGTTAGTTCTTGAATATGTTAGAATTCTCATCCTTTTGAGCTTTTGGGTTCCTTAATTTTTCTATTATCTATGTAAAACAATGGGGGAAAGTAATTTATACAGTATTGAAAATGAGGCTTTTGTTAACACAGTTATATATTTGGATTGTCTTTAAGAAACTATTATACAACAAAATACACTTAGAGCTGCATTTAATATGGTCCTAGATTTCAAAGGTACTTGAGAATCATCATGAATTGTCTCTCATAATACAACTAAAATGAGTCTCTTCAATGGTTCTTTCTTGCTATGTGGCATCTGAATAAAGATTATTCATATTTATGGTCCTTTTTATTTGTATTTAAATGACCATCTTTAGACTTTTATCCTCACTATAGGATTTGATATTAATTATTCTCTATACTTGTCAGGATCTTAGATTTTGAACAAATGATAAAAAGCAAGGATATAAACAAAGAAATTTCTGATTAGTCTTTTGCCTGAGAGGGTTCTGTGTATAACTGTTTGCCACTTGGTTCAAGTTCTTACCGGAGGTGGTGATATGTCTAGTGTAGAGCAGAGGGCTGTGAGTTTGTAGTCAAGAAGTGTGCATCTGGGCTCCACCACTGAATGATACTTTACTTAATCTCTAAGCCTGTCTTGCTGGCTTTCAGAACCTAAGTGTTATAACTGTTTTAAAAGGTGGAAGGCTCCTTTTATATGATTTCCCACATCCTGCTTCTAAAGATGAATTAATGGAGATAGTTCTGCCCTATCTCTTAAGGAGGCTGGTGACAAATGAGATAAGGGCACAAAATTTCATTACAGTGAAATCGGCACTGCTAGAAAAATACCATCAGCTGTGAACTTTCCCCTCCTTCAAGCATTATGAACCCCTGAACTTTTGCATAGGAAAGAACTGACTAACCAAACCTGTTTGCTTCATCTCCAGAATCACTCTCTTGGCTGTTTCTTAGTGTCAGATGGAGCTGATAGGTTGGGAATAAGAGGTTGAGATAAGATATAAAACCCATGAATTTTGGTCTGTGTATTGTAGTTGATTGAAAGAAATAGTTTAACAGATAATTATTTGCTTTTCAGACACCACTAAAGAAAACCAAGGCTCTCATCGGAGAGATGGGGATGACTTTCTCCAGCGCTGTAAGTTTTAAAGCCAATTTAATTTTGTTAAACTTTAATTGTGTTTATGTTCTAAGAAGAAACACTCGCTTTTGGGTAGTCTGTTTTGTTTTTTCTTCCCTAGTTAAAAAGCCTGATCTGAAGGAGGGATCTTATTTAATGTGATAAATTCTGTTAATTGAAATATTACTTCTTACCAATTGGAGATTAACTGCAGGCACTTTCTAAGCCAGTCTTTTCTACAACTCAGAACTAGAGAATTTTACTTCAAACCTGACTGTTTGAGGTTTGAATGTGGATTGTAAGCATCAAATAACATTAATGCTATGTAAACTGTTCCATGCTAAAAACTTGCAGACCACTTTACAAAACCCAGTTAACCATGGAAGCCAAACCTGACAAAGACAGTAGCAACAAAACCAACAACAGTTGTATGTATTTGTGAATATATAAAACAAATATATGTATATATCAACATAGATACAAAGACTCAAATGCTAGCAAACTTGAGGACCATGCACATACACAAGTAAGTGGTAACCTATTACGTCAGGAAATCCATTGAACAGCAGCCTTGTGTTGTGCTTTAGGGCGCCGACTCTGGAGCCAGTCCGCCTGGTTTCACATGCTCTCTGCCTCTTTTCCAGCTATGTGACCTTAGGCAAGTTATTAAGCTTTCTGGCCCTTGTTTTCCATATTTATAAATGGGAGTACTAAAACTTTCCTCAGGGTTTAAGTGAATTGATACATGTAAAGCAACCACTTGTATCCCTGCCTGACTTATAATGATTTCAGTCATCCCTTGGTATCTGTGAGGGATTGGTTCCAGGACCACCCCCACCCCGACAGATACCAAATCTGTGTGTGCTCAAGTCCCTTACATGTAATAGCACAGTATTTGCATGTAACCTAGGCACATACTCCTGTCGACTTTAAATTATCTCTAGGTTACTGATAATGCCTAATGCAATGAAAATACTATGTAAACAGTTGTTACACAGTATTGTTTCGGGAATAGTGACAATAAAAAGTCTGTACAAGTTCAGCACAATGCAACCACATCATAGACCTAGTTATACTGTTCACATCGGCAACAACGTAACTTTTTTCCCCTGAACATTTTCAATCTGAGGTTGGTTGAATCTGTGGATTTGGAACCCACAACATACAGAGGGCTGGCTGTACTACACAATGGTGGTTGTTATATTGTCCACCAACATGGAATTGGTAGTAAAAGAAGGATAGTTATATGTGCATTCCAATAGATGCTTGAAAATTCTCTGAAATGTTAGCATCTTTTCCTGGTAATTTATTAAACTGTTGGAAGAACACATCCTTATGATGAATACTTCAGACAAATGGCACACCTATAGTTAAGGTGAACTACTCTGGTCACTGTTGTTAAAGAGACAAAGGGCTAATGCCTCTTGCTTAATACTGTTCTGAACTGTCTAGTCGTTGGCATAAGTCTTACAGAATTAAGAGGTAAAACTATTGAGAAAAGACAAAATTAATATTTCCATTTGTTTGGATTGTCTACCTAGAAAACAAGAGAGTTGTTGGAAAACTTTTAATAGAACTTAGTAAGGTAGAAATGAAAAAAAACAAAACAAAAAAAAACTTCCTTATAACCAGTTAGAGAAATATGGGAGGGAGAAAAGATCACATTCACATAGCAGGAAAATTCAGACTCTGGAAATAAGCTGGTGGTGGCTAGTAATGGTTCTTTAGGACCTATATAAATAAAGTTACAGAACTTTGTAAGTGATGTAATAAAAACTACTTAATATGAAGACATGCACATTACTTTCCATGGGGAAATACAAGATTATAAAGTATTCTAATCAGAATTCCAGTAAGATTTTTTTTTTATGCTGAATTCAGTGAATCCAAAGTTATCTGGAATAATAAGTAAGTTAGAACAATTAGGGTAATTTTTTTAAAGGAAGAAATTGCTGTACTGGGTACTAAAATGTAATATGAAGATACAATGAACAGTGTGGTATTCCCAAAAATTAGGTTAGGAAACAAAAAAGGGAAAGAATTAAAAGAGTTGCCAATGTAAAAATTACAAAAGTCAAACATCTAACAAAATTAAAAGGCAAAAGTAAAAAACGGGAAGTATTTGTAGCATGACTGAATCCTTCCTTAATTCCAATTTTATGTAACAAGAGGCCAGTAGCTCAGGAGGAAAAAATGTGTAAAGCACATGAACAGACCATTCCCATAAACACAGTTGGTCAGTGTGCATGTGGAGAATGTTCATCAGTATTTAAAAATGCCAAATCCAATAAAAGGCCAAATAAATACTAAGTATTTAAAAAGGATACTATGTAATTTTGGCAAAGGTGTGCTCAAATGAGCCTTCCTTCTCTGCTGGTGGAAGTATAAGCTAGTATTACCCTTCTGTTAAATGTGCATTAAGAGTTATACAGATATTATTGGGTAGAATGGGATAAGTCTATTGATGACAGTAGCTAATAGAAACATAAGTAGAAAAAAAAATCTGTCATATATAAAATGATACAGGAAGTACATAAAGCTACAGATCAGCCTGAACATGACCCTCTACTTCTCAGCCACATTAAATTCAAGTAGTAGTTTTTATTTGGTTAAGACCTAGCTCCCACCACACTGTGCTCCTTGTATGTAAATATTTATTTGAGGTGAGGTTAGAATAGCATTATTTTATTCTGCAGAAAGAAACCAGCTAAAAAAGAAATCTGTTCCTTGGTTTGTTTTATCTGCTTTACTGTCTCTATTACGTTACATATGGCAGCTTGGAAATGTGTTATATGCAAAGAATATTTTTGTATCAGGGCAAACTAGAAATTTGAAGTTAAAATACTGAGCAACTTTCTTTTATTCTTTTTAGAAATTATGGGAAATTCATCGTTCTTGTGTAACTGTCCTTGTTGCTTCTGTTTCCTTTGTAGTATGTGCCAAGTGCTCTTTGCTGCCCAAGCCGTGCCAGTATCCTGACAGGGAAGTACCCACATAATCATCACGTTGTTAACAACACTTTAGAGGGAAACTGCAGTAGTAAGTCTTGGCAGAAGATCCAAGAACCAAATACTTTCCCAGCAATTCTCAGATCAATGTGTGGTTATCAGACCTTTTTTGCAGGAAAATACTTAAATGAGGTATGTTGGTCTAATTATTCCTCCCCCCTTTTTTTATAACAGCTTTTTAAATGTGAATTAATAGAATTCATGATACTTGTTTTTTAATAAGTATCCATTCAAATCATGTTAAAGGATTTTTGGCAAATGTTTTCTCCTAATCTGCTCATAAATAAGAACTTATATAAACATATTTACATCATTTGGGTACTGTATTTATTCTTCTACATAGTCTCAGGAGCACTTATTGAAAAATTATCCTCGGACTGCCCGGCAGGGTGCTCAGTTGGTTGGAGCATCATCCTGTACACCAGAAAGGTTGCGAGTTTGATTCTTGGTCAGGGCACATACTTAGGTTGCAGGTTTGATCCTGGTCAGGCCTGTACAGGAGGCAGTTGATTGATGTTTATTTGTTTCTTTCCCTCCATCCCTCCCCCTCTTTCCTCCCATTCCCTCCTTTTCTCTCTCTAAAAAAAAAGTCAGTGCTCACTTCAGCAACACATATACTAAAATTGGAACAATACAGAAAAGGTTAGCATGGCCTCTGCACAACGATGACATGCAAATTCGTGAAGCGTTCCATTAAGAAAAAAAATCAATAAAAGCATATCCTAGCCAACTGGAGTGGCTCAGTTGGTTGAGCCTTTTCCTCTTCAGTGAAAGGTTGCCGGTTCCATTCCCGGTCAGAACACATACCTGGATTGCATGTTCATCTCTGGTCTGGCCACATAGGGAAGGCAACCAATCGATGTTTATCTCTCTCCCTCTCCTTTTCCCTTTCCCTCTCCCTCACTCTAAACATGTCCTCGGGTGGAGATTAAAAAATAAATAAATAAATAATTCTATGGTGAGGATTAAAATAATAATAATTATCCTAGGACTGCTGCTGTGTACATCCCCTTTTTACTCAAGAACTCTGCTTGTCATGTGGCTGCCATGTGATCTTTGTTTCCATTTCCTCTGTATTAGAATCAGAATGAAGAATATTTCTTTAGTATCTTTCCTGAATTACAACTTATGCTTAACCCATTTTGTAACCTGAAAAGTGGGAACAGAATGCGGACAGATCCGTGATAAGAGAAAGCACCCAGAGCCTGGGACAGTCAGGCCATTAAAGCAGGTGACTGAGTGGTCAGTGTGCAGCCATTTGGGCCTCGATGGAGAGAGACCGCATTGTGACCTGCCAAGGCCAGATTTCATGGCCTCACTGGCCTTAGCTTTTAGTCAGAATTCAGGTTTAAAGGAAAGAGTGTGTTTGAGGGTATTTGGGGTTATCTCCTATAGTAAAACTGGGAGTGCAGGACAGAGAGAAGATGTACATTTTCTTATACATGTTATCTGTGGTTGCTAGAGATCTTAATATCTGATCTGAAATTTTTTTCACTTTTCCTACTCCCCACAGTAATTAGGGGAATTTGCAATCTTGTGGGTTTGAAAGAAGATGACTCAATTTGAAAAGAATAATGAGAAATAAGTACAGATACTAGGTCATTGTGTTAAGACTATGGGTCATAAAGAGAACTTATGCTATTTTGCATGTTAAAGAGCATCTAGTATATACAAAATTAGGAGAAATTCTTTAAAATACAAAGATTTAGCCCTAGCTGGTTTGGCTCAGTGGATACAGCGTCAGCCTACAGACTGAAGGGTTCCAGTTTCAATTCCAGTTAAGGGCACATACCCAAGTTGCGGGCTTAATCCCCAGTAGGGGGCATGCAGGAGTCAGCCGATCAATGATTCTCTCTCATCATTGATGTTTCTATCTCTCTCTCCCTCCTCTCTGAAATCAATAAAAATATATACTAGTATTTTAAAAACTTATATATATATTTATATAAATATAAATATAAATATAAATAAAATACAAAGATTTCGTTCTCAGGGGCTAAATTCTGCCTTAAATGGGCAGTATTAAACCTTGCTGAGGTAGAATGGGATAATTCTGTGGTCTCTTCACTTGCTCATCTCATTAGGTCTCTTCACTTGCTGAGCTCCAAAAGTAGATTTCATCATCAAGACAATGGAACTTACTGGCTGGTAGCTCATAGTTGGGTCATTTTCACTGTTGCTAGTCACAGGGTCAGTTGGATTATTCAGCAAATGAGCCCTGTGGCCTAAGCCATGTGGTCGTCTTCTGTAAAGGGCCAGAAGTAAATAATTTAGGCTTTGCAAGCCATATGTCTCTGTTGTAAGTATTCAACTCTGTCATCATAGCATGAAAGCAGCTATAGACTTTACTACGTAAACTGACGAGTGTGGTTGTGTTCCAATGAACTTTATCACCACTGAAATTTCAATTTCATGTAGCTGTCACATGTTACAACATATTCTTCTTTTGATTGGTCTTTATATTTTTTAATGTTTGGAAAAAAATTCTTAGCTTGCTGGCCATACAAAACAGATAGCAGTCTAGATTTGGCCTGTGGTTTGCCAGCTCGTGCTTCTGAAGTTTCTAGGAATATGGTGTCCTTTATTTTTTGCTGGTTTGTGTGTTTGGGAAAAGTGAGTACCTATCGTGTTTCAGGGACTGATCTAAAAAGATTCTACACGTGTCCTGTTTCTTTGTGTCTCATCATGTCTAAGGACTTCTAATGCCCTGCTTGTCTGCTTTTCAGTATGGAGCCCCAGCTGCTGGTGGGTTAGAGTACGTTCCTCCGGGATGGAGCTACTGGTATGCCTTGGTGAGTGATTACCGAAGTCAGTGCCAATTACACACAGCCCACAGATGTCAAATGTGTGTACTCTGATTTAGCTCTCATATTGACATAACTTGGTTTGCTTTTATGATTGGCTGTTTCATCTCCCTGCAGGAAAGTCTTTTGATTTGCAAGTAATTCCTTTGTGGGGGTTTAGGAACATATTTTGCTATTCTACCTGATCCACTCTTGTTTTTGTTTTGTTTTTTAAAGTAGGACAGGCCTGGCCCGTGTTGCTCAGTGATTAGAGCATCGGCCCATGCACTGAAGGATTGCAGGTTCAGTTCCCAGTAAAGGGCATGTACCTGGCTCCAGTTGGAATGTGTGTGGGAGGCAACCAGTCATTGTGTCTCTCTCACACTGATGTTTCTCTCCCCGCCACCCCTTCTTTCCCTCCCTTCCACTCTCTAAAAAAATCAATGGAAAAAATATCCTTGGGTGAGGTTTAACAAAAAATAAATAAAAAGTAAGACATATTATTGAAACTATGCTAGTAGTTAATTAAAAACCTAGTCAAAAAATCTAATTCAATACGACTTGTATAATTACCTTTTTAAAATGTCTTATCACCATTTAAATAGTATAGATTAGCCTAGCATGGTTTCAGCTTTCATTGTGTGTGCTGACGTCATAATAAATTTTACTTTCCTTGCTTTAATAGGAGAAGAATTCTAAGTACTATAATTACACCCTCTCCATCAACGGCAAGGCACGGAAGCATGGTGAGAACTACAGTGTGGACTACCTGACAGATGTTTTGGTGAGTCACTGAAGCGCTGTCCGGGCAGATTTGGCTAACATTTGATTAAAGACTTTGCCTAGAAAACCTTTAGTTATATTTGTTCATGTTGGGTAATGTGAATGAATAATAACTCGATCTAACTGCCAAAGAATAGTTCCAGCTGATTAAAAACTCCTAAGGGTATATTCTTTGTATAGCCAGGCTCAGGTCTAATGTGCTTGAAATTCCGGCAACAGATTCCCCCCCACCTCCCATTTTTTATTTATTTATTTATTTATTTATTTATTTTGGTGCACGATTTTTGTCCAGTTTCTTCCCGCATCTCCCATTCCCCTTTCCCCGCCAAGAATAGTCAGTCCATTCCCTTTCTATGTCCCTGATTCATTATAATCACCAGTTCATTCTGTACATCAGATTATTTATTCACTTGATTCTTAGATTCACTTGTTGATAGATGCATGTTTGTTGTTCACAATTTGTATCTTTACCTTTTTCTTCTTCCTCTTCTTAAAGGATACCTTTCAGCATTTCGTATAATACTGGTTTAGTGGTGATGAACTCCTTTAGCTTTTCCTTATCTGTGAAGCTCTTTATCTGACCTTCAATTCTGAATGATAGCTTTGCTGGATAAAGTAATCTTGGTTGTAGGTTCTTGGTATTCATCACTTTGAATATTTCTTGCCATTCCCTTCTGGCCTGCCAAGTTTCTGTTGAGAAATCAGCTGACAGTCGTATGGGTATTCCCTTGTAGGTAATTGAGTCTCTTTCTCTTGCTGCTTTTAAGATTCTCTCTTTGTCTTTTGCTCTTGGCATTTTAATTATGATGTGTCTTGGTGTGGTCCTCTTTGGATTCCTTTTGTTTGGGGTTCTCTGCGCTTCTTGGACCTGTAAGTCCATTTCTTTCACCAGGTGGGGGAAGTTTTCTGCCATTATTTCTTCAAATAGGTTTTCAATATCTTGCTGTCTCTCATCTTCTGGCACCCCAATTATTCTGATGTTTGTACGCTTGAAGCTGTCCCAGAGGCTCCTTACACTATCTTCGTATTTTCGGATTCTTTTTTCATTTTGCTTTTCCGGTTGGGTGTTTTTTGCTTCTTCGCATTTCAAATCTTTGGCTTGATTCTTGCGCTCCTCTGGTCTGCTATTGGGTGTCTGTATAATATTCTTTATTTCAGTCCGTGTATGCTTAATTTCTAGTTGGTTCTTTATCATAGCATCGAGGGTCTCATTAGTTTTCGTGACTCTCTCCTCAAGTTTATTGACAGCTTCTAGCACATTTTTGCAAGCCCTCAAAATTGCGATTTTTAGCTCTATATCCTCCATTTCTGTCATGTTTTTTTGTCTCCGCATTTTTTATGCTTTCTTGGTGCACCCCCTAGTGGTCTTTGTGCGCAGTCTTGTTCTAGTTGAGCCTTGATTGTTGTAGTTAATACTAGAGGGATTTGACCACCAGGCCGACTGGCTGTGTGAATCAGCTGTGTCTGCTGCAGTGGGAAAACTTCTGTCCTCTGGGGGGGCGCTAATCTAGCCTTTGCCTGCGGCGATCCGGCAAATGGCTCTGCGCAGGGCTTGGGCGGGGCGGGCTCAACAGGGCGGGCGGAGGGAGCCGTTATGGTGCCCTCAGTCCTGTTCCCAGAGGCTCTGCTTCTCAGAACCCCCGGAACCGCTGCAAACCTCGGAGGGAAAGCTGCCTTCCAACTGATGCCAGACACTCCCGCTTCTCCCGTTTGGGTCCGAGTCCCCAGCGATTCGCCCGTATCTGGAGCTCAGAGTCTGAGACTCCCCCCTGACCGAAAACGACAACCGCGCTCTCAGCCACCAGCCCGCTTTGCGCGCGCACCTCCGCACCTGAGTTTTTTCCACACTGCGCCTCCTCTGAGCCTCGGTGTGCTGTTATTTTTCCTTCTAGTTGAAGAGTCTCTCCTCAGCCAGCCTTCCTGTGGTTCTGGGTGATGTCCGTTCCGTCTTTTAGTTGTATTTTTGAAGTGGTTGTTTGCGGCAGCAGTCTCCGGTGTTTACCTATGCCGCCATCTTTATCGCTCCCATTGTAAACATCTTTCTCCCATTTTTATTTTTTAACTTGAGGTTTTACTTTGTAAGGGTTCCTACTCTTGACCCCAGTTTTACTTACAAGCTACAAGATGACAGCTTCATCGTGAGGGTGGGATGATAGGGATATGGGAGTTGTTCAGGCATTGTGTAGTTATATATAGGAAATACTGAAAGTGGGTGAATTTGGGACTTCTCTTTTTTGTCTAATGACAACCCTTTTTAGGGTATTCAGTCACCAAATATTTCAGCATTACTTGTAGTGGGTTTTCAGCAGTAATGAAGCATAGTCCTTGATTCTGTGGAGGTAACTTTTTAGTAGCATATTTTATTTATACATATGTGTGTATGTGCACACACATTCATTTATTGTCTTGTTAGATGATGAGAGAGAGGAGGCAGATTATGGGATTACTTAGATAACATTTAAGTACAATCCTGATGTAGGTGAGCGTGAGCTATAAAGATCACGAGAAAGAATGCCACAGGCAGAAGGAATGAGTAGTGTTCAGGCACTCAAGCGGGAGTGTGCCTGGCATGTTGGAGAAACCACAGCTTTCTTACAAGGCAAGGGTAAATTGGTGGGCAGGGTGGTGATGGGAAATTGATGCAGTCAGTGCCTTTTGAGATTAGTGTTGGGACTAAATGAAGATATAAATCAACTAGAACAATTAAAAACATTACATGGATGTGGGATGCTTTCATTTTCATAAAGTATCTCCAAATAAGCAAATGGAAAATGTGAGTCCATATACATTAAAGCCCTGGTGTGATTTATTTGGGTTTAATATTACTCATTTAGCTTAGCTAGTTTAGCTGGCAAAACTTGCAATATCTACATATTTTTGTAAGATTAAGGTAATTTAATCCACCTTTCCCACTGTTGTGAATTAGATTGACTCTTATTTTTATACTAGAGGCCCAGTGCACGAATTCATGCACGGGTGGGGGGTCTGGTTGGCCTGGCCCCAATCAGGGCCTGATCAGGGCCGGGCTGGCTGGGGGGAGGGGCCTCAGGTGATTGGCCAGTGGGCCCTGCCCCCAGTTAGGGTGGGGGGCCGATTGGGGGTGGGGCCAGCCATGGGGAGAGGCTGTGGGTGGTGGACTGGCCGGCCCTTTCCCCAAATGGGGCGGGGGGGCTGATCAAGGGCCAGCGGCCTGGGGGAGGGGCCATGGGTGGTTGGTAGGCTGGCCCTGACCCTAATGAGAGTGAGGGGGCTGATTGGGAGCAGAGCTGGCTGGGAAGAGGGGCTGTGGGCTGATTGGCGTGGTGGGGGCCCATCGGGGGCAGGACTGGCCAGGGGGAAGGGCTGCAGGGGTGTTGGCTGGCCAGCTCCACACCCTGGTCACCTGGTTCGCTGGCCACTATAGGCGTCATAGAGACCGGTTGTTCTGGTCATTACGGTGTTACGGTTGCTGGCTCATGGGGGGATTGTCTGGCCTCCCTGCCCTTGATCAGGGTGGGGGAGGCTGATCAGGGGCAGGGCCGGCTGGAGGGAGGGGCCGTGGGAGGTTGGCTCGCCGGCCCCACCTCCTGATCAAGCCGGTTCGCTGGCCACAGTGAGCGTCATAGCGACTGGTCTTTCTGTTTGTTATGGCTTTCTGGTCGTTATGGCTTTCTGGTCGCTGACTTTTTATATATATAGATTCCCTAAGGCATCAGATGTATATACTGTAAGCTGCATTAATGTAAGTTAATACTAAAAGGGCCAAATTACTATTTCTTTCCAATGAGAGGCATAACATTTTAAAAATATATATTTTTTTATTTCAGAGAGCAAGGGAGAGGGAGAGGGAGAGATAGAAACATCAATGATGATGAGAGAGAATCATTGATCGGCTGCCTCTGCATGTCCCACACTGGGGATCGAGCCCACAACCTGGGCATATACCCTGACCCAGGAATCTTAACTGTGACCTCCTGGTTCATAGGTTGACATTCAACCACGGAGCCATGCTGGCCGGGCTATAATACTTTTTTGGTCATGTAAAATCATCAAAACCTAACTGCCCCTTAGGATAGTGTGCTCTTCAATTTTTTATTATAAGTATTGCCTAAAAGCCAAATATTTGTTCCAACAGCATGCTGGTCAGTTGACTATGACACAGGTTGTGTGCTGAGATTTGTTAAAAACTAATATGACCCTGTCCCTTCTGTTTACCAGAGAACATGTATCTATCAAGTCTGCAACTGTTGGGTAGGGTAGGAAATGACAAATCTTTGTTTATGTCAGGCTAATATCTCGTTGGACTTCCTGGACTACAAGTCCAACTTTGAACCATTCTTCATGATGATCTCCACTCCAGCGCCTCACTCGCCTTGGATAGCCGCACCCCAGTACCAGAAGACCTTCCAGAATGTCTTTGCACCAAGGAACAAGAACTTCAACATCCATGGAACGGTAGTGTCCCTAATCCTAGAATTAAGCCATACTCGATATAGTTAACTATTTAATATACTTGTTAGGAAGCCTTTCAGCCATGTAGTTGGTTTTCTTTCCAGATGTTTCAAGGTAATTATAGCTGCCCCTAAAAGGATAGGTAGTATAAACTTGCTTCAGAAATACAGATAAGGTTCCTGCCACACATCCTGTGAGCAGCTAGAGGTCCACAGGGAATATTAAAGGATGCCATCTTCCTTGACTACAGGCTCTCCTGATAACCTCTTTGCTGGCTCTCTTCTGCCTGGCAGTGGCTGACCTGTGTCCCTTGAGGCTGAGTTGGGCCTGCAGCAGCCTCCTTTGGTGGCCCTCACGCATAGGAAGAAGAGGGGTGACACAATGTGATATGATGGTAGGGAAATAAAATGGAGAAATGAGCCAGGGCAGGGAATATAATTAAGGGCCACAACCTAAATATTTGCTTCATGTGTCAGTTACTTATCCTTCCCTTGGCACAGGGGATTGACTAGTTCAAATGCAGAATGCCTCTACTGCCCCATGCCTGTTTCCCAGAAATCTTCATTGCTTGTGAGGTGGTGGAAAGAATGAATCTTAGAGTTAGACTCAGCACTACCACCTTCTAGCCTAGTGACCCAACAGTGAGCAAGATGCTAACTTCCATTGCTCATGCAACTGCTATATGGACTAAAGCAGTGGTCGCCAACATTTCGAATCTCACGGACCAGCAGTGGTCCGTGGACCACCTGTTGGCAACCGCTGCTCCAAAGGTTTCCTTAAACCAGCGGTCGCCAACCTTTCGCACTTCACGACCAACAGTGGTCTACAGACCACTGGTTGGTGACTGCTGGACTAAAGTACATAGAAACATCTGTGGTATCACCTGGAATATTGCAAGCATGTGCTTGTTTAGTATGATTTGAAAGCTAAGTGAGCTAAGTTTTAAACTAGAGAGCCATTCTCAAACTGTGTTCCAAAAAAATTGATAGCAGTTCCCATGACCACGTAAGTGCAGAAACTTTAGGTTAAATAAGTCACTCTGCTATAGGATTCCTCAGATTCATGTTCTAACATGAATTTCCAGTCAGAGGACATGCTATATAGCATCTCTCAAACATATTAACTAAAGAACACTTTGAGGATCATAGTTTGGGAGATAGCTAGGGTTTCAAGACTAGGGAGGAAGGAGAAAATTAATGGTGTGTGTGAATGTTGTGTGTGTGTGTGTGTGTTTTTTTAACTGACTTTTTTATTAAAATGAGAAGAACCCTCCAAATTTGGACTTGAAGTTTTAGGAGATTGCTATTTTGGGATTTTCCCAACAGTTTAGGATGATGGATATCTTGGGTAAGAAAATAGAGGACAATAAAATGTTGACTTATAAGCAAAATTAAGAAGAAGGTAAAGTTAATATTTACCCTTTTGTAGTTTGGGTAGGAGACCCAAAGCATATACTCAGAGTTATAAATTTAATTATCTACTATAGTAGTTTATTTGACTGGGTGACTTGGTGTTAACATTTTTTTCTTTTAAATTTTAGAACAAGCATTGGTTAATTAGGCAAGCCAAGACTCCAATGACTAATTCTTCGATACAGTTTTTAGATAATGCATTTAGGAAAAGGTAAGAGCTGCTACTTTCTCAACCTGGGTGGTCTTAGAGGACCCTCCAGATCAGCCTATGAACAGGGGACTGTACCATGTGGTTATATTTGAGACAAAATTGGAGGGTAACAAGTTGATGGGAGAGACTTTGCTTGGTGGGGAGGGCATCTGTTGCCTCAGAAGCACAGATTCCTTTACATTTGGGTGTGTAAGGTGGCCTTTGGACCCTCAGACTAATTAAACAATCTATTTTTATGACTTGTTAAAACATTGCAAACTGAAGCCATTTGACTTTTTTTTTTTTTAAGTTTCCCCCCAGCCGATGTGGCTCAGTGGTTGAGCGTTGAACTATGAACCAGGAGGTCAGGGTTCAATTCCCAATCAGGGCACATGCCCTGGTTTAGGGCTGAATCCCCAGTAGGGGGTGTGCAGGAGGGAGCCGATCAATGATTCTGTCTCATCATTGATATTTCTACCTCTCCTCCCTTCTCTAAAATCAATAAAAAAAAATATTTTTAAAAAAGTTTCCTGTATCTAAGGAAAAGGTCAGTTTGTTTGTGACCAGTCTCCCAATATTTACATAAAACCCAAAGGCTTAGACTAGAGCAAATTATTTACCTTTGCTGTTTGTGATTTTCAAGAAATTCTCTAATTTTTCAAAAAATTCATTACTTAAGTTGTAATCTATTACTTATTACCAAGGGTTGGCAAATTTTTTCTGTAAAGGGCCAGATAGTAAACACTATAGGCTTGCAGGCTATATGATCTCTGTTGCAGCTGCTCAGCTCTGCTGTTGGAGTGCAAAAGCAGCTCAAGACAGTATGTGAAGGAATGAGCATGGTTGTGTTCTAATAAAACTTTATGTGTATATAAAAAAGAGACAGTAAGTTGTTTAATGGGTCCTTTCAGATTTATAAACTGAAAAAGTTCTGGAAATCTGTCTCACTATGTGAATATATTTAATACTACTGATTTGTACACTTAAACACTAAGATGGTAAATTTTATATTATGTGTTTTTTATCACAATTTAAAAGCAAACAACACACAGTGGGCAAACTTTGGTGCATGGCTGCAGTTTGCCAGCCCCTAGTTTAGATCACAAACACTGTTGGGGCACAGGTCCATGTGAATTAATCTGTATTAATCAGTGCTGAGTTGACAACTTGCCCTTGTCTCTCCTCTCATCAACAGTGATAATAAGTAATAAAACTAGTTATAAAAAGCCTCATTCATTTCTTTGGAAACAGTTCAATTTAGATTGAGGTAACTATTCTAAATTTTTCTAATCTTTTTTTTTTTTTGCAATGAGGCATTTGAGGAAAGGAAATTTGGAAATTTCTTCCATTTTGGGGAGAATGGTTTTGAGGTTTTACAGGTGTCCCTGAGCCATTTTCTTTGAGGTTCTACTGACATCCTCTGTTTACATCCAGGTGGCAAACTCTACTCTCAGTTGATGACCTTGTGGAGAAACTGGTCAAGAGATTGGAGTTCATCGGGGAGCTCGACAACACTTACATCTTTTATACTTCTGACAATGGCTACCACACAGGTAAGGGGCATGGTTAGGTATTCCTGAGACCTTCGGGAGGTGCCTTTCCTTTTTCACCCAACCAGGATCACTGGCAGGGAGCTCTGGTCCCTGTAGAGCAGTTTAGAGGCCAGAGGGAAGGTCTTGCCCTCAGGTCCTCTCTGGTCAGAGGGCCCACTCATTGCCACATGGAGAGACCGGTTTCATTATTTGCTGTGTCATATGCTATATTACGTGATATTCCAAGAGTCGGGAGCAGAGTGAGCTTGATGGGTTAGAGGCAGGATTTATGAAGGAGGTAAGAAGTTGAACGGGATTTCAAAAACAAGTAGACTTTAGAAAATAAGGGTAAGACATTTTACATAGAAGATCAAGAGAAGATTATATTGGGTGCGGGGGGGAGTCTTTCATGCGAAATTGTGAAATTAGTTTTGTGTGTGTGAGTATGGGTTTTGTGTGTGTGTGTGTGTGTGTGTGTGTGTGTGTGTGTTTTGTCTTTTTAAAATTGCACGATGGCCCTGGCCGGTTTGGCTCAGTGGATAGAGCGTCGGCCTGCGGACTCAAGGGTCCCGGGTTTGATTCTGGTCAAGGGCATGTACCTTGGTTGTGGGCACAACCCCAGTGGGGACTGTGCAGGAGGCAGCTGATCGATGTTTCTAACTCTCTATCCCTCTCCCTTCCTCTCTGTAAAAAAAACAATAAAATATAAAATAAAATAAAACCTGCAGGATGAATAAGCCCCTTGTTTTTGACTTTCATCCTTTCTACTTGAACCTTTTGCAGGTTAAAAACGAATATTTTCTTCTTTCCCCACCTATAAATTTTATAAACTTGAGTGGAATTAACCTGAGGCTTGCTTGCATAGAACAGATTGGGCGTTTAATCTATTATTGTGAATATTTTTTTAAATGTATTTTATTGATTTTTTACAGAGAGGAAGGGAGAGGGATAGAAAGTTAGAAACATCGATAAGAGAGAAACACCGATCAGCTGCCTCCTGCACACCCCCTAATGGGGATGTGCCCGCAACCAAGGTACATGCCCTTGACTGGAATCGAACCTGGGACCCTTCAGTCTGCAGGCCGACGCTCTATCCACTGAGCCAAACCGGTCAGGGCTATTGTGAATATTTTTAAGCACTTGAAGTAGAGACTATAAAATAAACCCCATTATCCAGCTTCAGTTTTCAGTTGCATGTGGCCAGTCTTTTGAATTCTTCCTACCCTACCCTGGTGTGTGTTTTTTTAGCTAGAAGGTTTTGTAGAATCTCTGGAAATTGTGATTCCACACATCAACACTTAATTGTGCATCTGACTAGTTTATTATGTATCAGGATCTAGAGTCTGCATGCTACCTTTAGCTTTTGTGTGTCCTAAAAGCTGTCGTTGCCACTGATTGATTGGAAAAACTGGTCTTTTGTCCATTTAGAATATCTGACATCCTGGCTTTTATCTTGTTTATTTATACTTAGCATTTCCTATAGATTGGTAGTCAGATCTAGAGTCTTAATAGAAATTCACATTTTCAGCAAGCATGCTTTCTTGGTGATGCTGCTGTGTATTTCCTGTTGCATCACTTCATGATGTCTCGGAGTCTGGTTGCCCCACTTCAGGGATGCTAGTATTGATTGATGGCCCATGTGGTGTCAGCCTGTCCTGTGAACCTTTTGTGGTTAAACTTCCATTGATGGTTAAATTCATTTTTCCCTCAGAAATTGTAAAATGTTGACTTTATAACTCTCTTCTTCCTTTTGCATTTATTAGCTGGAATTCCTCAGAGAAGAACTTTCCCTCAACTGTTCAGTTATTTTGAAATGCAGTTTATTCAGGAAAGGCCAGATAAATGTTTTTGTTCCTTTAGCAGTTTTCAGAATAATCTCATTCAGTTGTGATCAGATTGAGTATCAGACATAAATTATGCATTTGTGTTTCAGTACTTCCCAGTCACTCTTTTTCCTGAATTTGTCCTATCTTAGATCAGGGAGTCCCCCTAGGCATTTATTTAAGGAAGATGAACTCATTGTTTCCTGCCTTGTAGTAATGAGACCCAGGCAAATTTAAACCCCCTATTAAAGCACCATAATTAGAGGAACAAAGTTGTTTTGTTTTTGTTGACTAAATGAATGTATATGCGTGACACTTCCATCTGGGCTCCATCTTTACCCTTTGCATTTTGTTTTCAGGACAGTTTTCTTTGCCAATAGACAAAAGGCAGCTGTATGAGTTTGATATCAAAGTTCCACTGTTGGTTCGAGGGCCTGGGATCAAACCAAATCAGACAAGCAAGGTAGGTGTCTGACAAGATGATGCTGTTTATAGGTAGCACTTGCATGAGAAAATAAGGCTGATTAGATTTCTCCTCCTGTGAGATGAAAGCTGATTGATTTAAGATTGTGTAAGTGTCCCATGGAAACAGTGACTTTTTTTAAACACCTGACCACTCCCTATTAATTGTATCCCCCCCAAATATATATGTACATATATATACACATACATGTACATTATATATATATAACATCAGCATGAATAACTTTTGTCTTATATTAAATTTTAAAAATTATAGTTAACATACAGTGTATATTAATTTCAGGCATACAAGATCGTGATAAGACATTTGTATACCTTGAAACGATCACCACGAGATAAGACTAGTACAGTGATGGTGAACCTATGACACACATGTCAGAGGTGACACGCGAACTCATTTTTTTGGTTGATTTTTCTTTGTTAAATGGCATTTAAATATATAAAATAAATATCAAAAATATAAGTCTTTGTTTTCCTATGGTTGCAAATATCAAAAAATTTCTATATGTGACACGGCACCAGAGTTACGTTAGGGTTTTTCAAAATGCTGACATGCCAAGCTCAAAAGGTTCGCCATCACTGGACTAGTACCTACCCAGCCCCATACATAGTTATAACAGTATTATTGACTATATTGCCTATTCTGTACTTTACATACCTGTGACTAATTTTATAACTGGCAGCTTGTATTTCGTAATCCCCTTCACATTTTTCGCCCTTCCCTTCACCACCTTCCCACCTGGCAACCATCAGTTTGTTCTCAGTATCTATGAATTTGTTTCTTTTCTCTTTTTTTGGTTTGTGTATTTTGTATTTTAGATTCCACATAAGTAAAGTCAGACATTACTTGTCTTTCTCTGTCTGACTTATTTCACTTGACATGATACCCTCTGGGTCCATCCATGTTGTTTCACCGCCTCTTCTTTATTTATTCATCTATCGATAGACGCCTAGTCTACTTCCATATCTTGGCTATTATAAATAATGCTGAAATGAACATAAGGGTGCATTTATCTTTTCAAATTACTGTTTTCAATTTATTTGGATAAATACCCAGAAATGGGATTGCTGGGTCATATGGTAGCTCTATGTTTCATTTTTTGAAAACTCTCCATATGTTTTCCATAGTGGCTGCACCAGTTTACAATCTCACCAGCAGTGCAGGAAGATTCCCTTTTCTCCACATCCTCACCCACACTTGTTTGTTGATTTACTGATATTAGCCATTCGGAGAGGTGTGAGGTAATATCTCACTGTGGTTTTGGTTTGCATTTCCCTGATGATTAGTGATGTTGAGCATCTTTGCTTGTGTCTGTTTGCTATCTGTATGTTCTCTTCGGAGAAATGCCTGTTCAGGTCCTCTGCCCATTTTTAAATTGGATTGTTTGGCTTTTTGACGTTGAGTTGTATGAGGTCTTTATATATTTTGCATATTAACTCTTTATCAGATATATCATTTGCAAATATATTTTCACATTCAGTAGGTTGCCTTTTTGTTTCATTGATGGTTTCCCTTACTGTGCAAAGGCTTTTTAGTTTGATGTAGTTCATTTACTTATATTTTGTTTTAACACTGCCCTAGATGACATATACTAAAATCAATGTCAAAGAGTCCATTACTCATTTTGTCTTCTAGGAGTTGTATAATTCCAGGTCTTACATACAAGACTAATCCATCTTGAGTTTATTTTTGTATATGGTGTAAGAAAATGGTCTAATTTCATTTTTTGCATGTATCTATTCTGTTTTCCTAGCATCATTTATTGTTGAAGAGACTATTTTACCTCCTTGTATATTCTTGCCTCCGTTGTCGTATACTAACTGGGCATATAAGCATGGGTTTATTCCTGGGGTCTCTATTCTGCTTTGATCTACATGTCTGTTTTTGTACCAATACTGTATTGTTTTGATTACTATATCCTTGTATTATAGTTTGAAATAAAGTAGTGTGATACCTCCAACTTTTTTCTTCTTTCTCAATATTATTTTGCCTATTCAGGGTGTTTTGTGGTTCCAAAAAATTTTTAGGATTATTTGTTCTACTTTTGTGAAAAATGACATTGGTATTTTTTAAAAATATGTTTTTATTGATTTCAGAGAGAAAGGGAGAGGGAGAGAGAGATAGAAACATCAACGATGAGAGAGAATCATTGATCGGCTGCCTCCTGCACGCCCCCTGCTGGGGATCAAGCCCACAACCAAGGCATGTGCCCTGACCAGGAATCCAATTGACCTTAGGGTTCATAGGTAGATGCTCAGTTACGCCACACTGGCCAGGTGCCACTGGTATTTTGATAGAGATTGCATGTAATCTTGCTTTGGGTAACATGGACATTGAAACAGTATTCTTTCAGTCCACAAGCACAGTATATCCTTCCATTTACCAGTGTATTACAGTTTTCAGAGTATAGGTCTTTTATCTTCTTGGTTAAGTTTTTCATTTCTTTTTGATCCAATTGTAAATGAGATTATTTTCTTCTCTTTCTGATAGTTCAGTATTAGTATATAAAATTGCAATAGATTTCTGACAATTTTTTCTGCAACTTTACTAAATTCATTTATTAATTCTAATAGTTTTTGGTGGAATCTTCAGGGTTTTCTATATATATCATATCATGAGCAAATAGTGATAGTTTTACTTCTTTTCCAATTTGGATGCCTTTTATTTCTTTATCATGTCAGATTGCTGCGTATTCTTGTCTTATTCCTGATCTTGGAGAAAAAGCTTTAATCTCTTCATTGTTGAGTGTGATGTCAGTTGTGGGTTTCTCATATACGGTCTTTATAATCAGGTATATTCCCTTTATCTCCACTATGCTGAAAGTTTTTATCATAAACTAGAGGCCCAGTGCACGAAATTGTGCATGGGTAGGGTCCCTGGGCCTAGCTGGCGATCAGGGCCAATTGGGGCCTTTCGGCTGCTGGCTGGGGCCTTCCTTAGTTCTGCCTTGGTGGTCAGTGCACGTCATAGTGAGCAATCGAACTCGCGGTCTCCCGGTTGAACTCCCAAGGGGACACTTTGCATTTTAGCCTTTTATATATATATATAGATTGGTGTTGGATTTTTTCAAATGCTTTTTCTGTATCTATTGATATGATTATATGATTTTTCTCTTTCATTTTGTCTTTGATTATATGATTTTTATTCTTTATTTTGTGCATGTGGTATGTCATGTTAATTGATTTGTGGATATTGACCCAACCTTGCATCCTTGGAAATAAACCCCACTTGATCATGGTGTATGATCTTTTTAATGTATTGCTGAATTTGATTTGCTGATATTTTGTTAAGGATTTTTACATCTATGTTCATCAGGGATAATGGCCTATAATTTTCTTTTTTTTGTTGTGTCTTTGTCTGGTTTTAGTATAAGGGTACTGCTGGCCTTGAATGAGTTTGGGAGCTTTCCTCTCTTTAATATTTTGGAATAGTTTGATAAAGGTAGGTGTTAATTCTTTGAATGTTCAGTAAAATTCACCTCTGAAGCTGTCTGGTCCAGGACTTTTGTTTGCTGGGAAATTTTTGATTATAGATTCAATTTCATTATTAGTAATTGGTCCATTCAGATTTTCTATTTATTCCTGATTCAGACTTGGAAGGTTATATTTCAAACATTTATCCATTTCTTTGAAGTTGTCCAATTTGTTGGCATATAATTATTTGTAGTGTTTTCTTATCCTTTGTATATATGTGATACCACTTGTGTCATTTCTCACTCATTTTGGATGTTATTTATTTGGGCCCTCTTTTTTTCTTAATGAATCTGGTTAAAGATTTATCAATAATGTTTATCTTTTCAAAGAATTAGCTCTTAATTTATTGATCTTTATTATTTTTTTAGTCTCTAATTTATTTCTGATCCTTGTTATATCCTACCTTCTACTAACCTTGGGCTTTGCTTTTTTTTTTCTTGTTCCTTTAGGTATAAAATTATATTGTTTACGTGAAATGTTTTTTGTTTCTTGAGGTAGGCCTGTATGGCTGTGAATTTCTCTCTTAGAACTGCTTTTGCTGTGTCCCATAGGTTTTTGGACCATTGTGTTTCCATTTTCATTTATCTCAGGGTATCTTTTAATTTCCTCCTTGATTTCTGTATTAACACATTGAGTGTTTAGTAGCATGTTGTTTACCCTTCATGTGTTTGTTCCAGTTTTTTTTCTTATAATTGATTTACAGTTTCATACTGTTATGATCAGAGGAGATGCTTGATAGAATTTCAGTCTTCTTAAGTTTGAGACATCTTTTGTGCCTCATCATTTGGCCTGTCCTAGGAAATGTTCCATGTGCACTTGAGAAAAATGTATATTCCATTTATTAAATTCATATGATCTAAAATGTGCCTTTTTTAAATGTGCCTTTTTAAAATTTTATTTTGTTGAGAGTATTACAGATGTCCCCATTTTCTCCCTTTGCCCCCCTCCACCCATCTCCCACCCCACCTGTCTTATTGTCTGTGTTCATGGGCTATGACTAATTTGTACTTTTAAATCCCTTTGCCTTTTTCACCCATTGCCCCAAACCCCCTTGTATCTGGCAACCGTCAAAATATTCTCTGTATCTATGAGTCTGTTTCTGTTCTGCTTGTTCATTTATTTTGATTTTTAGATTAAATTGGTGATAGAAATATATTTATTGCCATTTTATTGTTCATACTAGGGGCCTGGTGCACGAAGATTCATGCACGGGGGTGGGGGGGTCCCTCAGCCTGACCTGCACCCTCTCCAATCTGGGAGCCCTCAGGGGAGCCCTCTCCAATCCGGGAGTTTCTGTCTGACTTTGCAATCATATGAGCGAATTGTCTGAGACCCCCAACCCAGTTTGGTTTGTTGCTCACAGAATAATAGAGGCTTTTTTTTTTCTTTGCTTCATTGGTGGAGATTTCCTGGAAGTTTTAGAATAGCTTCCCTTTAATTTTTCCTAGACACTCTGATTTTACTTATGTCTCTCATCTTTGCTTTCCCTCCATCTCCAACCCGCAA